TACCATCACAACTTGTTTATTTTTGTCGGGCGCAGGACCATGCTTATCGCCGAACCTTGCCTCGTCTCCTTCACAAGCACTTTTTCGAATACTATTTGATGATCGACGACGGCGTTTTCCAGTTGGTTTCGCCTCCATCGCAATATCGCCAATCTGCAGTCAATATCATCGAGCTGATTATCAATATAACAACAGCAATATAATAGCGATGTATCAAAAAACTCATACAATATGAGCGAACAATACATTCGCACATATATATACAATTCACTGATTTTGCCATCAAAATGCTCACTAAACTCAAATTTTCGCATCTCAGTTTCAACAAGTTCCATACTTTAGTTGCGTTTTATCAATGTAATCGGCAATAAATTTCAACAGTGTATACAATAAACTAACATTCAATAGAATATAACCAATATGAATGAATGATAAATATAATCGTAATAAGATGCAAATGTTTAATTACCTCATGCGCTTCGATCTTACATCGTTTTATTAATTCATCCACAACACTTTCATTCCTCACTTTCCATTCTGCACGAATCGTATCAAATGATTCACCAAATCTGCAGACACAACAATTCTATTCAGTTTCNTAAAAATCCATCGGGGAATATCACTTCTCTTATTTGTTGCCTACTAAAACCACGAACCTTTGATATTTCGATACTGTACTATTTCATATTCCTTCCGATCCCAATTAGCGTTACAAAATTAATTTGTCATTCGACAATTTAGCAGTAACACTCAATTATTAATAAATAAAAAAGAAAGAAAATGAAACAAATAATCAACCTCAAAATTAATGATCTAACACATCCATAGAAATCTTCACTCATTTTCTTTGCGTTCACTTCAGAGGCCGATAAAAACTCGAACACATTCGAGAAGAAGGCACTTGCTGATGATGCTGCGAGAGTGTCACCTTGTTGGATCGTTGAAATCAAAAATGAACACAACTCATTCTGATGCTCATCACCATCTGCTAAAATCAACACCAACTGAGATAATAAATAAATCAACACCATTTGAGATAATAAACATCCGAATCAAAATAATCATCTTTATGCAATACTCTCTTCAGTTACCTGACTAATTTCAAAAATTGTAATGCTTTCCATTCGTTTCATAGCTTTTAATAACTAACATGCACCTTATACATCTGTGTTGCGAAGTTTTATTATGGCACTATATCGTTATTATTATTCAGTCACATGTATTTGTTTATGACGTTTGCACTGCACTGCATGCTGCAGTTGCTGATAATCAAAGTGAAATATGGTGATGGATCGCATCTGGGCTTAGCTCCTACCGAAGAACCACTCATTGGTTCGATAGACACCTTGGCCCGATATACTACAATTAGCATCAGCCTAAATCTAAGTCCAAACATAATCCATCGGCATATTTCACTGTGATTATTGCCACGAAGACAGTTTTGTTGATTCTTTGTACAAAGATATTACTGTCGATAGAAAACAAACCGTTTTCACTGATCAAC